AAGGTGGAAAGCTACATCACCGAGACATATTTTCTCGGAACGTTGAAAATTCCGTATTTGAATCTTTGATAAAGTGTGGCATAATTTAACATCAGGCAAATTCTTTGTTCTGGCAGCGACCATATTGTAAGAGTATTTTCAAACCGAGCACAGGTTTGAACTGTAAAATCTCGTTGAACAAATTAACAACATTGTGGGTCATGGGATCGGGAACGTGCATTTGATCACATTTCTGGGAGACATATTTTTGACACATTTTTTTTAATTACGTATTCGTCCGACGCCATTTTGAACCTCCAGATCGCCTGCTATTTTTTTCGTGTTTGTTTGGGGGAATGTAAAACAATGCCCCACAATGCAGCTGGATAACTTTTGAAAAATTAACCAATAACTCGAATGGATATAATTTTTCATCTCATACAAATTTTTCTATTATATCTCACAATTTTAATTTCAGTAATTTTCTTTGTTGTATAATTTAAATTGAACGTAAATTTTCATGCTCTGCAGTGCCTAACCTCACGTAATATTTTTGTCAGCACAAGTTTTATTCTACACCAGATCTTTTTTGTTTTCATAAATCACTGCTATTTTTCTTTCAAGTAAATATTTTGTTAATTAATGTTTCCATCATATAAATTGTTTGATGCCCAATCTTAATCTCAGATAAGAATTCTTTGCGGTTTAAAATTTCACAAGAGTGTATGGCGAATTTAAATATTGTTTATTGTTCTTTTGGAAACTTCAACACTTGTTTAGTTGTAGTTTAATATCAGAGTCATAGCAATTGAACATTTAAACGGAATTGAGGAGTGCGCGGTTCCTTGTCGAGCTGGCGGTCGCGCCATCTGCACAAAGGATGCAGGCCTAGAATAACTTTTATTAAAATTTTGTTCTCTTGTTGACTGCCATAATTTTAAATTTGCCGCCACACGTCCGTAATAACTTGCGTATTTGCATCCAGTTACTTATTTTTCTTTATTTTTATTAAATTGCTGATTTTCAAATATTTGCGTTGATTCAGAACGTTTAATTTGATTTCATTTAAAATTCATTCAAAGTTTTTTTGGAGCATTAAGTGGTGTCGTCACCCGGCACAACTTAGTCGCAGCTTTTTTTTTGTCAGTGGAGGAATAAAAAATTTTGTGTCCTTCAGATATTTGGTGTTTAATTTTGCGGTAGTTTTCCAACCTTGGGGTCCACCATTTGCATTTGAACGCATCCCACCATTTTTCAAAAACTCAATGTAGGGTTTCATTTTGTTAGATGATCATAGCCAAGGCCAATTTTTTGAATTTTTGAATTTTTCGCGGGCTTTCATTTTTTTTTTACATATCAATTTAAGACGGGATGTTTGGGTTATCACAATGTCTTTCGTGAAACACCAGTCCATCCTGTTAAAATTGGTGTAAGCAATGTCTCGCAGAGGTAATGGACCCAAATTCTTTGAGGAAACTGTAACAGCACAAAAATATCGAAATAATAATATCCTAACTGCTTTTGTTCAAAAGTTACAGGAAGACGAACTCCAAGACGGATTTTTTCAACATGACGGTCCCAGGGCACATACAACAGTAGATAATTTGAATTTTTTACGTGAATTCTTTGACGATAGAGTAATAAGTTTATTCTAAGATCACTTTAAATACATAATACTGTGGTGACCGAATTTAAATCAAACTTTTCGCGCTGAAATTAATTGACAACGGCGCGAAATCACATTTGAATAATTTTAATTTAAAAAAAAAAGAGTTCAATCACAAAAAGGAAATCCTTAAACATAGGCAACCAAATATGCATGGATGGTCTAATGCACGTAGCGCTTAGTAGTTAGTTTGCATGATCTTTGGGTTAGATGGCAGCACGTAGCGCTAGGGAAATTTCAGTTAGAGGGTTGGTAGAAAAACGGCATGGTAGGGCATTATGAATGTGGCTGTGTGTGTGTAACCACGTGGTAAGAGCTAGGTTTAAATTAGTTGGTTTGGTAGTTAATAAAACGGGAGGAAGCCTTTGTTTAACGACGATCAAACGTATTTTTCATAATGATACAGTTGTCCCCAACCCGCGCGGTAAATTCTTGCGCCCTTTTAATCGAAAATTACAGACTTCCGGTCGGACGCGAACACGTGTTGTGAATCTGTTTCTTTGTTTGTAAATTCACCAATCAAGCTAGTTTTTCTAAATAGTCAGCTAGTGCAAACACAATTTAACAATCAGGATTATTTAAATTAACCATTTGCTAGAAGATTTCATGAAATTCACTTAGTCAGGAAAAACACCTTATGTTTAATTACGAATAGGTCTCTGGATGCATATACGTAAGTGTTACATAATAACACTTCTAAATTCTTCACACAAGATTGCTAATAGTTCATTTACGGCAGTTAAACAAGTTCATTATACTGCGGACTGGCGGGGGGGTTATGATATTTTCTCCCCTCAGGTGGTTATCATCGTTATCACGATTAATTCATCGGGGCATGTTTCGCAACGCCAGATTGATTAATTAATTAAGGCATGCCCCCAACGCTACAGAAAATTTACATTACCGAGACGCTTTTTCCTCGCAACGATTTTGGAACTTACATCACCGAGACGCTTTTTCCCTCGGAGCGATGATTGGATATTTTTGTATTTGTTTATTATGTGTTTTGTTGGGGTAACCAGTTCGTAGTATTTTAACTTCTCAAAGTAAATTATTTTTGAAGTAACCAATCATTTAGATCATGATATAATTTGGCATAATGTAAACTCTTTGTTTGAACCGTTGATAAAGTGTGGCAAATATTAATCTCCTGTAAATTATGTTAACTCTGCAATTTTCACATCATACTATATTTCTTAATCTCACCATCTTAACCTCAGTAATTTTATTTGTTGTATAAATTTAATTGAACGTAAATTTCATGTTCTACAGTTCTAACCTCACATAACATTTCTATTTGTACAAGTTTATTTCACACCAGATCTTTCGTCTCATAAATCCTTGCTAAGTTTTGTTTTGTAAATACTTTGTTGATGAATGTTTTCTATCATATAAATTATTTGATGTCCAACTTTAATCCCACATAAGAATTATTTGTTGTTTAAGATTTCACAAGATTGTATGGCGAATTTAAATGTTGTTTATTGCTCTTTGAAACTTTAACACTTGTTCAGTTGTTGTTAACATCAGAGTTATAAGAGATTGAATGTTTTAAAATGGAATTGAGGTTAAATGACACAGAAAACGTGGCAGAAGCGAGGTTTGGTTCCTAGTCGAGCTGGCGAGATTTATCGCGCCACCTGTACAAGTCCACAGGTTTGGATAGATTCAGGGGGCGGCCGCCGACGTTGTGAATTTCTCGATTTGGCCCAATAGTCGAGATCTTTGCGGGTTGGACGACCATAATGGCCTAGTTCCGCAGGGCAAAGTTCGTCATGGGATATGCGTGTGGGGTAGGCTTTGCGATAGATAGAATCATCGTCGCGGGGGAGAACAGTTCCAGACCGGTAGCTCAGACTCCGCTTATGCTACAACGCTCCAGGGGTACTTTTGTTGTGCTCCTATTAACTGCCGTAACTTAAAAAGGGAAAAGAGATCGGCCGCCACACGCCTGTAATAACTTGTGTACTTGCATCCAGTTACTTGATTCGGTTTTTGCTTTGTTTTATTAAACTTGTGATATTCCAATATTTGCATTGATTCCAAACAGATGTACCGAATTTCCGTTTGTTCGTTTTTCGTGTGTGTATGTCTGTCAATTCGCGAGTGTTTTTCTTTCACATATCTTAAGGTGTTTGAAATGTAATAATATGTCGTCCGGGAATAAAACCAAAGGGGGTTTTTACGCTGAGGGGTAATTCTTCGCAGCGTCTTTCCCCCTGTGAGGGTGGTGCCGTTTCTCCCCCTCCAAACCAATTTTTGTCTATTATTTCTTGCGCTCTCGACAGTGTATGCACTTGTATGAAAGAACGTCTTCCCGCCAGTTTTCAAAAACAAAAAAAAAAAAAACACAACGTAGGTTCCTATTTGTTAGACGATCATAGCCAAGGCCAAACTTTGAATTTTTAAATTTTTTGCGGGCCTTTCAAACTGTTTTCAAGGTCAAATTTTGAGGCGGGAAGTTTGGGTTATCACAATACTAATAATATTTTACAACTTTAGTCAAAGAACCCAACTCACAAAACTCCAACACTATAAATTATGCAGGTACGACCGCCAAAGACCGTCTGTTTGGGGCAATACAGAAAATTCAGTAGGCACACGACATGGCTTACAAGTTTACAAGGACCCTAATGCGCAAAGCCGATTCGGCATTGTCAACCAAATAATCCTAGTTATTAGTATCCATTTAAAATGATCTTACAATACATTCATTTCTTGAGTATCCCCCAGACCAACCCCTCTGGAATACTTCTTGTTCAGATCACTGGTTCGGTCATCTAAAAACACGATTTTTAAAACTCCCATTCACACCATAGAAGACCTGAAAAGCAGAATTACCGAAGAGTGTGCTCGCATTACTCCTGCTACACTACAAAATGTGTTTGATAACATGAAAAGACGTGTCAATTTCTGTATACAGGAGAATGGATACCATTTCCAACAGTTTCTTTAACTTTGTTTTCGAAACTTATTCACAAATCTGCAGAAGTTATTTTCTTTCACTAGTTTTTCTAGTTTTCAACAAGCAAGAGCTAACTTATTTTGTTTGTAAATTGATTTATGTCGATATGCAACCAACATTACACATAGGTTCAAAATCGCATAGCTTTCTTTGATTTAAATAATAATTAATGAAGTAACTCGTATGAATTTATAAAATTCCTTTCGAAAAGTTTACACACGTATGGTTAGAGGTGGTTGCAGACTGGTCACATAATGATCCCACAGGTTTTCTTTTTAAGATTTGTTATATTACCACAACAAAAATTACCAATTAATTTTACCATATATAATTTTTCCACATTCTAACAATAGGTACTTTCGCAGTTTAATGTAAATAAAACAAAATTCATACATTTAATAAAATTTATTTTACGCATTAAAAGTGTGTTGATTTTTTCCAAATAATGAATTATATAGTTCATTTTTTGCTTCATCTGTCCACAAATTCTCATCAATTGAAGACATAAAGTTAACTAACTTATTATGCACAGCATATCTAATTTTTCTCCCTTTTGTTGCTCTTGTATCGACTTTCCTTTTCATTTTGCTTCTCATACTTTGTAACTGTATCCACTGTCTTCCTAGCTGAACGGGATCAGTAACATCAGCAGACTTGACTTCTATCAATTCTCTCAACAATTGATGATAAAAGTCATCATCATCAAATACCTCAGTATTATATTCATCATCAACTTTGTCGTCCCTGATGTCTTCACCCACGATTGAATACTGAGACCGTTTAGTTTGAGTTCTCTTTATTAATTTTTCTTTATTGCTTAAATTATATTCGATGTGATCCAAAACCGAATGTGAACTGGTATCTCCTTTTACAACTACCCGAGTTTTATCATTCCACTTTTGGATTACACTATTTCTGTAATCTTTGTACTTTTTGTGTTGATCCGAAAGTTCGTGTTCGTAGTCCTCTAATTTTCTTTTCTTTGTTTTTGGAGACGTTTGTGCAATTTCTTCTTTTTCCTCTTCTGCAGACAATTCGCCATCGGTGTCGCTTGGTATTTCTTCGTCGTCCACATTGACCTCATTGTTTGAAATTCCCTGTCCCAGTTTCTTTGTCTCTGGGAACTGTTTTAGCAGCAATTTTTGCAATAATAATAGTTTATCCAATGTAGAACACACATTTCCCTTTGTTTCATTCACTTTATTCATAAACTCTGGACCCGATTCTTTTTTAATTTCACTGAATGCAAGTTTTTGTGGCATTTTATTGGCAGTTATGAGACATTTTTGTAACTGAATTCTTACTTCTAATAAATTTTCCCACATGGCTGTTTGATTTCGTACACAAACTCCTTTTTTTATCTGATTCGAAACATTCGTTTCCTTTATATTTTTAAAATTAGCATCGTCTGGGTAATCCTCTAATAACTGCCCGTCATCATCATTTTCACTTATTTCGCTGTCATCTTCTTCATCATCGCCACTTTCTTCTTCGTCATTTGAAGAAGTTCCTAGGACAAGTAAAATAACAATGTTAATTGCTTTCCAATCGACATTTTATCAAGTGTATTATGTCATATGAACAATATGCTGATTTGTTATTATTTTTTACGTAAATAAAACATAACAGTTAATAGTGTGTATAAATCCAGCTGTTTCGAAAAATTAAAAGATTTGATTTTGCGAATTTTATTGTTTTTTATGGCAACCATTATAAGCTAAAATTAAAATATGTATCTAATGTTTGACTACATGTAAAGAAATGTGCTAACCGTTTGTTACAAGTGAGTTTTTCTATTACAAAATTTTATGTTGATGTCATCCATATTTTTGCAAGGAAACATATATCAGTTTGGATGATGCATTGTAATACTAATAATAAAAGTATTGTATTATTGTTATTCTTGAATAGTGATTTATAAGCAATATGATAACGAAACAATTTAATTACGTCTGCCGTATCTAATAACAATAACAGAGGTGCGACTGAAGACTGAACTGAAAATCATTTATGGTATTCGTAATTTAAGACAAATCGCGATAACACTTATCAACCTGTAGACGTGAGAGTGAAACAAAAACTAAACTAAATTTTCTACTAATTGCCATAACGGGATCACAATGCCGACGGTCCAGACTTTTTTATTGCTCTGACTTCCGCTTATTGAATAAAACACTACTTTTTTTATTTTCGAGGTTGTAATTCACATTTGGTTAATTATAACTTGTCTAGATCTAGAGGAGGCTCAGCATCCCCTAGCCTCCCCCTAACTACAGTCTTGTCTAGGGGTTATGAAATATCGAGAAAATATGAAAGTACCAAATTGCCGGATGGACTCCACTAATGTACGTCCTTCGGTTATCCTCGATAAGAAAAACAATTTGAAAGTGTTTATATTTATACATCGGAAGAATGTCACGTAAAAATTAGTTTGATTTCAATGAGTTCATCCCCTCAAATAGAGGATCAAAACTATTAAGGACTAAGCTACAATCGACAAAATGTTCTGAATATCAAGAAGAAAAAGCGTCAGTCTTTAAAATAAATGTGTGATTTTCTGCAAAATTTGGATACTGTAAAATTGATGGTTTTACCAAAGCATTAAGAAATCAACTTGTGGAAAGGAAATCAAAGGGTGAAAAAAAATCTAACATTGAAATACATAAAAGGCGTACCAACCATCACTACTTTAACTAATAATGCTTTACAAAAAAACTAAGTTATCCCATGGACTCAAATTTAATCAATATTTACTTTTATAATGTTGGTGGTTTAAGATCCAAATTAAATATTCTTCATAAAAGTGTTAGTGATGTACATTATGATGTAATAATATTTATTGAAACTTGGCTTAACAATGATTTTATAGATTATGAATTAGGATTACGGAATTACTCTATTTTTAGAGTTGATCGGAACAATGACTTTGTAAATAAATCTAGAGGCGGTGGGGTGCTTATAGCAGTTCATCGAAGACTTCAGGGAAGTAAAATATTAAGTGTGAATGAAGCATTTGAAGCTCTGTATATTTCAATAAAACTGAACAAACCGGAAGACATTATTTTGAGAGCAACATACATTCCGCCGAATGAAAATTTTTCAGTTTACGAAAGGTACTGTGAAATTACTAAAAATATTCTAGATAACCGGAGTGAATCATTGTTCATTATTTGCGGCGATTATAACTTACCTAATACCAAATGGAATATTATGGACAATACTATGGTGATTGAGGGGAATACCGATCCTAAAGCTCTGACTATTGCAAATTGTTTTGCTTACTTAAATATGTTTCAAGTCAATCAGTTGCCCAATGAATTCAACAATTTTTTAGATCTTATTTTTACCAATATTATGGACCTACAACCTACTTATGCCCATAAGCCTTTATTAAATTAATCAGTTTTTCACTCCAGTTATGAATTTGAGGTTACTTGTAACTTGGATCAGCGACATTAAGAATATGAAGAGGTATATTATAATTTTAAAAATGCTGATTATGAAGAAATTAACTATCGATTGTGCCAAATCAATTGGAAGGAAATTTTCTTAGACAAAGATATTAACCAGGCAATTCTCACATTCTATGATTTAATTTATGACGTAATCCATAATTTAGTACCTAAAAAAAAATTTCTAACATCTCAGTTTCCAAAATGGTTTTCTAGCGAACTAAAAAAATTAACCCGTTTAAAGAAAAAGCTCCATTTACAATATAAAATAACTGGCGAAAACAGGGATTACATGGAGTTTTCTAGAATTAGAGCTTTATGTAAAAACAAATCAAATGAATGTTATCAGAAATATATCGCAGAAGTTGAGGACGAAATACACTCCGACCCTTCTAAATCTTTTTGGAAGTTCTGGAAGAATCAAAACAAGAATCTGGGATATCCAAGTCGCATGAAATTTGATGGTGAAGAAGCCGTTGGGCCAGAATCAATAGCTAATTTATTTGCTTAGTTCTTTCAAGGGGTATATAGTGACCCTTCAGACAATATAAATTTTAACAGAATAGGTGTTTCAGGTGAAGTCTCCTTTGCTTTTCATAGGTTTGCCGAAGAAGAAGTATTTAACAGTATTTTAAGTTTAAAAAATTCGGCCAGTAGTGGTCCTGATCTAATTCCGTCGGAGTTTCTAATTCCATGTGTTTTTAGCATAACCAAACCGATAACTTATTTATTCAATTTATCTCTGCATTCTGGAAAATTTCCCGAGCTATGGAAAAACAGTTACCTTGTTCCAATACACAAATCTGGGGATAAAGAATTGATTTCAAACTACAGAGGTATTTGTATACAATCGGTTTTGCCTAAGCTTTTTGATCATTTAATTTCCACACAGTTAAAAATGGCAACTAAGCACATAATAAGTGATGTTCAACACGGATTTTGTCAAGGTCGTTCCACCACCACAAATTTGCTTTTGTACCAAAATTTTTTAATTGATTCTTTGGAAAAGAGTAAACAAGTTGACTCAATTTATGGGGACTTGGTGAAAGCCTTTGATAGGGTTAACCACAAAATCTTAGTACACAAACTAAGAGCTATGAATTTTGACGAGATGTTTGTCCAGTGGATTGAAAGTTTCATATCAAATAGGTCTCAAGTTGTTAGAATTGGAAGCTCGTCTTCAAACACCATTTCTGTGAAATCAGGTGTCCCTCAAGGAACCCATTGTGCGCCCTTATTATTTAATCTCTTCATTAACGACATTTACCTTTCGGCAATATTTTTCAAAAATACTCTTATTTGCAGACGACTTAAAATTATTTCGAGAGATATCGTCAGCTCTGGATTGTGCCCTTCTTCAAAGTGATTTGAATCGAATATATAATTGGTGTGTATGGAATGATATGAAAGTTAATACAGAGAAATGTTTTAAAATATCTTTTTATCGAATAACAGGTTACACTAATTTCTGTTACCGAATTAAGGGTGCCGTCTGGAGGCAAAATATCTGCCTGGTCAAAGTGAGAATAAAACGACCCGGGAGATGCTGCCTCCTGTTAGTGAATTGCTAAAATGTGAATAAATGCAGCACCGATCCGTAGAATTCTACATTTTACTGTACGGAAATAAGTTTTAGTACACAAGCCGCAGTGCCTGTCTAGCCATAATAGTTGCAAACAAAACCCGGGTACCTGAATTTACCCTTGACCGTTCAAAACTGGAAAGATGTAAAACTCACTGATTCATTTTCCTATTTTGGCTACAGTTAATTCTTTCCAGTTATTTATTTTGTTTCCGTACTTAAATTGTTTTCGGTAAATATATTAAATATATGTAAATATTAAAGTACCTCCTACTGTCGGGGAATCATCTGTAGATATGTGATTTATTCCTATAAAGGATGTGTTGTTTGTCTGAATTACAGGAACATCATGTAAAGCAAAAATTGGTCGCGCCAAGGTACTATTTACGAACGGGAGGGATTTTCCACATTTGTAGGCTAAACTTGAAATAAGAGAATTAACAATATTTCCGGTATAAGTAAATATTTTTATTATTTTCCTACTATCTGCACTGTCGGACATGCCCATTCATTACAAATAGAATATTTTTGGCGGAAAATTTTTCTTAAACTTAATAATGTATAAGAGTTTGGTTTTGTTATTTACTTTATCGTTTGCAACAAAACAATAGTAATAAAAATAAAAATATATTTACCAAGTAAATAACAATAAATTGTTAAAATTATTAGCCGCAATCGTTTGAAAATGAATAATAACGTGTCCTTGAAGCTATTAGCCACATAACAAAATTTTTTACTTTCTTCAACGCAAATCATTAGTACGTTGTATGCAAGTAATTCTAAGCATTCAACGGTGGTTTTTTATGTAAGTACTAAAATATTCATGTTAATTATTTTGGCGGCTAACTGCATGGCAGAAGGCAGTTTATTTAAAAATTTGACTTTGCTTAAACTGTTTGTTAGTATATCGTTTTGTAAGGATTTAAATAATTAATTTTAAATTTTTAATAGAAGCAGCTGCTATTTTTTATGCATATTAACTTTGACTTGCACTTTTAATTTTACGTATATCATATGCTTGCGCATCGTAAACCTCATTTTTTTGTATAAGGTGTAAATATTTTTTGTTCACTACATATTTGTCATACTGTTTCGGAAAGATTTAATTTTAAATTTTAGGCTTGAACAACAGCTTGAACGTAATTTTAAATTCGGAAAAAAATTGGTACTCAAATGGAGTCGAAAGCGTGTACAAGGGATAATTTCAGTCCGCAATACCAGTCCCACTTCCGGTGACAAACAAAAGTTGTTAAATTTATTGTAGGTGGTTGTTTACATCTGGCTGGTAGAAATGGTAGAGTCCTATGAATGTAATTGTTTGAAATGCACGTAAAGTACCTTTTTCGGCAAAACTCAGTTTTGGAACAGTTGCCAATGTTACGACTTTGTCAGTGTCTGCCTAAAACATAGTTTCGGTCGTCCACTTACAAATTATTTGCACTATATTTTTGTTGTTACACCTTATTTTATAATAAT